ACACACGCGCACACACACACACACACACACACACACACACACACATACACAAAGGAGATTGCTTCCGTTCTTACCACAGCAAAAATAAGTATGCTTTGTAAGGGAAGACACACACACACACACACACACACACACACACACACACACGCACGCACGCACGCACACAGGTATGTAGTTCAATGTTCATACATTTTTGGTAAAAGATACTTGTGAATACATCAAAGTGCCTTTCTCAGAATTGCTTTTTGTATGTTTATATGTCTGAGCTGTCAAAGGCAAAAAAAAAAAAAGACGTGCATTTTCAAGGTTTAAGTTATACTTGAAATGCTAGTGCTGGTAAAAAAAACTAATAATATGGCACATTGAGACTTTATTTATTTATTGGGGTGAATGAAGAGATTCTAATCTTTCTATTGGTTGGTACCGTGTTCATAAAGCCATAGGACTTCATCACTGGCCAAAAAAGCCCACCAGCGCCTGTACTTCCTCCGCAAACTGAGGAGAGCAAGAGCCCCGCCCCCCATCATGCAGACATTTTATACAGGCACAATTGAGAGCAACCTGTCCGGCTGCATCACCGTGTGGTATGGCGCTTGCACTGTGTCCTGCCAAAAGACTCTGCAGCTGAGAAGATCATTGGTGTCTCTCTCCCCCCTACTCATGGACATTTACTACTCTCGTCTGACCTGCCAAGCCATCCGGATCGCAGGTGACCCCACCCACCCATCTCACAGTCTCTTCGGCCTGCTGCCGTCGGGGAGGAGATTGCGGAGTCTCCGTGCTGGAACCAGCAGGCTCAAGGACAGTTTCCTCCACCAGGCGGTCAGGAGACTCAACTCCCTCCCTGCTCTGCCCGCACTCCCCGCCCTCTGCCCTACCCCTGCCTCCTGTCACAGGCTATGACCCTCCCCTCAGCATCCAACATCCGCGTATTGCACAATGCACTACCTCACTTTAACCCACAATAGTCAACAAAGTACCGTTGTTTCTATTGTTGATATTACATAAGTCCTTTTAAACAGTGTAGTTGCTATCTTATCTTTAGCTGTGTGTGTTTTAATGCACAGCATGTTTGCACTGAGGATTGAGAGGAAAGAAATTTCCTCTGTGCTGCATATTATAAATAAAGCATATTTGACAATAAAGATGACCTTGACCTTGACAGTATTTCGTGGGCCTTCGAAGACAAGTCAAAATCCTCTAAATTGTCTGGCACTTAAGGGGTTGGCTGGTATTGAATGACATCACAGAGCTCTGAGTGGAGGTGTTGACATTCTTGCGAGCATTCATTGTTTTCGGGTAAGTTTCATTTCTTCTTTGTATGGTCCACTCACCTGGAAGTACTGTACGGCAGATGATTCCTCTGTTCTGTCACTGAAGACTGACCGCTCACATAGATGCCCCCGACAGTTCTTCAAGACGTTATAAAAGGACTGAAAATCTAAAGTTGAACACCAAGGATCAGACAGGAAAAGTTCTTACATGTTAAGTGGCAGTACTGACAATAAAAATCAAAGTTATTTCAAGGCACTTCCACGATGGTGGGACCATGCAAAAACACCCGCAAAACCCAGTGTAAAAGCTTACCACATCCCTCTTAAAGTATTGGAATTTGGATTTACTGTAAACTGAAAACATTAAGGGTTGACATTAGGGCTGTCAAAACAGGCCTGAGGATTTCACGGTAACGATCGTTTCCGGTAGTGTGTCGTTTCCGTGGGATCATTTTTACGGTACCGAAAAATCATTTCCCATAAAAATCACCGCGCACCAGTTGACTGGACGCGATCGAATCTCTCCTGTGTGATCAACGCGATTTCACTGTGCCTGTATGTGTGTTTGTGGTGTGGTGTGTGAGTGTTTTTCTTCGAATCTACTCTCGTGTTTTTTTTTTCAGTGGCGGGGGGGGGCGGAACAGGTAACGTTATGTGCGCATGCAGGTTGCTATTTTAGTCTGCGCTGAGAAAGCGCGTGGATGGTGATGGCGAAAAAAAAAAAACACCGAAGGTGTATTAGTTACTACATTTAAGAAATGGGAATGCGAGTCAGATTTTTCATTCCAATCATCTGAAGAAGGGCGTATGACCAAGATGACGTGTGATGTATGCACAAAACCCGAAAAGAAATATGACCGGAGGCACGATTCCGAGGCAAGTACATGAAGTTGGTCATTAGATCGAAAGACTAATCACGATGACAAATATTATGAAACAGCCTTAGTTTAGCTATAATTTACAAGTTGTAGACATGGTAACTTTATGGATAAAACATTCATCACAAGGTGTAGTAATACTAATGTTAACTGTCGGTAGGCCTAACGTTGACGTGTGGTAGATTCTTGATAGTAGATTACACAGTACATCATCTTGGGGTTGCAAAGAGGAGGTCAAGCCATATCAATATATTAAGTCTATATATAGTAATAAGGTCATTTTTTTTAAAGATTCATCACAACATTTTAATCATTCAATTCCTATTACAGTACATGCTTTTGTATTAATAAAGGGGGTGAGTGTCAGGTTTTCTTGTGGCCCATGGTATATCGCCAGATTTTGTGGTATGCTGTATTCATGATGCCATATGAGTACAATAAAAGTGTCAAACAACATATTTTGATCCATTTGTTTTTTTAAATAAACCTGGAGTACACAGTTGCTGATGTAATTATGTTCATTGTTAATGCATCGTTTTCAAACATTTAACCTTTAAATACTTTTGAGGATCAGAATTCTCGATTAGGAATATCAGTCAAAATAGAAAAATGGGTTCCCATGATGAACGTTTACGGAACCCAAAATTAGTGACCGAGGTTTCCCATTGGGTAATCCAACCGAACCGAAAAATGGTTTCTGTTAATTTCTGAAATCCTCAGGCCTGCACAAATGATTATTTTGCTTTTCGACTAATCACATAAAGAAGTAGCGACACTTTGATGCTATTTTTGTTTTGTTTTTTGCATTTGTGACACCTCAAATATCTAAACAATACTTTACTACTAAATAAACACAAAAATGTGTCACTTTGATGGCAAAATAAGTTTATTGCAAAATAAACACTGCACTGATGCATGACCTATGCATGAAGTTATCATGAATGTTGAATTGTGTGCGTGTGTGTGTGTGTGTGTGTGTGTGTGTGTGTGTGTGTGTGTGTGTGTGCGTGCGTGCGTGCGTGCGCGTGCTCGTCAAGAATGACGATGGGACTTCATCATCTTTTTTTAATTTGAAAGAACTCTGTTTTAGAGTTAGCTGCTGGGATTTATCCATGTTCTCAGCACTACACTGCTTCCACACACCACCTCGCAAAGTTGGATCGCCACCCACTCGCACGCTGTGTGGACCAAGATCTGATCAAAGCCACTCCTGTTATGTGGTGTGGTGGTGATACACTGAAATCATTCCCACAGCCTTCATACTGACTGAAGAGGTGTGCGAAGCCCTTTATTTATTTATTTTTTTTAAATTAAAAAAACTAAAAACGTATTTAGACATTTTGGCACAAACTGATAGGTTTTTTCCAAATATATTTTTACGTTTTGGCATTAAATTAGTTAACATTTCTTACATATGATCATTTCTTGCTTAAAACTAGGGGGAAAAAAAGGCCAAAAGCTGAGTAAAATTTGCTGATTTTAATACCCATTACTGGCAACCTTTCATGATCAAAAGAGCCATTTGGCCTCTAATTTCTTTCGCCAAAGAAAATCAGTCTGGAGCCATAAAACATAACACAACTAATATACTTTTAAAAGTTTTATTTTTTGAAATGTTCCCTTTCACAAAAAATGTTACAATCATCTGAGCAAAACAAACACAAGTGCAGTGTCCATAGTTGGGCCTATTCTGAAATAAATAAAAGTAAACCACATAGGCCTATTTGAGTCTTTCCAATATTTGTTTGGTATCAAAATAAAACCCAGCGCAATTTAATAAACAGGAAATACAACATTTAGTACCAGCTTGGCAGTTTTAAAGAAAACGTTTTCAAAAATCATAAAATTAGGAAGAATTATCGAAAGTCCTTTTGCTCTCATCCTCTTCAGGTTTTTCGCAGCCAGTTATCAATTGAAGCACCTGAACATGCAAAAAAAAAAAAAAAAAAAGCATCAGCTCCAAATATGTTTGTTTGGGTTTTTTTTTTTCCCTTTCTGGAAAATAAGTCTTGAATTCCATTGTTCTCACCTGTTTAATGTGACTTCTGTGTCTGGCTTTCACTGCAGATCCTCCCAATATCGGGGCTGTAAGGTTATCGGCGCCAACTTGGTCGTGGCGCCACACTGTTTGCTAAGAAAAATTATGCCAATTCGTGCAAACATTTGAAACCTGGCAGACAACATAACACTTGGTCAAATAGTCACTATTTTATTAGATAATTTTGCGGTTACAAAAAACACATGGCTTAGTTGCAACAATTTTTTTTAACGAAACAGCCTTGGCTGAACATTTCACTAAGATCTAACAAAAATTGGAGGCACAAAGTAACAGCCCAAGACCTAAAAAATGTTTTTAGCTCAATTGTTGTCCTTTTAAAGAGGTCATATTGGATCAAAATACCTTTTAATCTGATGTACTTCATTTTCTGAAAATTTTAAATTGCAATGTGCCATCATCCCAACGTGCCAGTAATCCAACATTGCAAGGACTCTTTATCGCAACCCGCAGCTCTAATTTCTTTTTGTTTTTTTCTGAGACAGACACAGAGGGAGAGACAGAGACAGAATCACAGACAGAGAGAGAGAGAGAGAGAGAGACAGAGAGAGAGAGAGAGAGACAGAGAGATAGGTAGAGATTGCAAGACAATGCGAGAAGATCATGAGAGAGTCAGAGAAAGCCCGTGTCCCAGGCCCCTGTAACTCTGGACTCGTTCCTTGTAATAATAATAGAATATCCCAAGAAATATTATCTCATTGGAGTACATATTTACTTTCAATTCTGTTCAAATGTTTGTTCTTATTTGAATTGCTTTTTTTACAGCACATTTGATCAGCAGTTGGGAAAAAAGTGAGAGATGTGTATCGGAGAGACGTAACTATTTCGTCGAGCTTTTAACTGATCTTTACTTAACTTTATTAATTTATCCATGTAATTTTTTTCTGGCTGTTGAATTGTATTTTCTCCCTACTGTTTTTTTTTTTATCTTATTTTGTTTTACTATTGTCTTAAAATGTCTGAACTCCAGTGTCACCTTATGGGAGACTTCACACGTGCTTGTAAATGCATTTACTGTACATTTATTTTGGAAAAAAAAAAAACGTGGTCGTGTGGGCGGAAACATTTTCCCACATGGAGAGGGGAAATTTTTTTTTTAAAAAGTCCAGCCAACATGTTGACATGGCCTAAGCTTCTAAACACATACTTTGCTCACGATGACTTTTAAAATTTTTATTTTGATTATTTTTATTTTAGAGAAGCAATTTATTTGAATTTATTGACTTATTTATTTCTCTTACTACCGACTGCCCGAAATCAGCTGGCATAGGCTCCAGCATGCCTGCGACCCTCGTGAGGATAAAGCGGTTCATATAATAGATGTAATTTTTCTTTTACGCTGTCTTGCTCTTATCTCATTTATTTTAATCCTATTACATCTTGTGTGCATGATAACTTGTACAGGCTACTCAGGCCGAGACATCTCTCTCTGTCCTGTGCTTCGATCAATTTCTTTTTGACATACAGTATACTATTTGTTCATTCAGCCACTAATTCATCGACGAACCGGGAGTATGAATATAAACTGGGAAGCTACAAATGAAGCGTTCCTTGCTGGAGAAATAAAGTTGTCTGAATCGCAGTTTGACCATTACTTCCACTTGGACTCACAGGCGGATACACCCCAAAGAGACCACATACTCAAAGGTGGCTTACGACACCAACCTATACTGCCACCGTTTCAAACACTCAATGTCAATGATTTTGCCTCTGATAAACCACACAAAAAACGCTCCCTCGTGACTGCAGAAGTAGCCCCCAAACTCTCTACAAATGAATGGAATATTAATGAGGGAGTTTCCACCCAATGACTTATTGACCGACAGAGGGCTCTCTGCCAGGAATCTGACCGTTCGTCATTAGTATTCGAAAAGAATTATACCATCTCTGGTGAGGTGGGCTGTGCCCTCAACATGGAGCGAGTATAGTTCGCTTTTCAACACCCACTCAGGTTGGTCTGTTCTAACCAAGCTTTTCTTGGATCAACTGATGAAGACTTCAAGGATGAGAGACGGAATGCCGAGCAGTCTACTTGCATAGCATAGATACATATGATAAAAACTGACTCAAGCTATATTTGCAAAATATTTAATTGGAGCAAGACCCGTCGGCAATAAGCGTCGCCTGACGAAAATAAAAGCTATTATTTGGTACAATTTTAAAAAGAAGACAGGATATGTTCTTATGGAGGCACCTCTTATAGTCAGGCCCCTTAACCTTGGGAAAACCAAAGCTTTGTATTGCCTGCCTAACATCATAATGAATCGAGGCTGGCCTCTCAACACTGCTTTGGATTAGGTTCTCCAAAGGTGTTTCCCAACCAGTGGTAAGTGAGCATATTGCAAGGAGTACGTGGGAATTGATTAAAGCTGAAATGACTGATTAAAATATATAGTTGTTTAATTCTGAAACACACTGAATACTTTTTTAATTCAGTGTTTTATTCCTGATTCAATGTTTAATGACTGTTTCCAGGGGACTCATGTAAAGGCCCTCCATTTTTTTCTGCCAAATGTTATCAAAATTATGTTTCACAAATGCAGGTTTATTCTTCATTTTTATTCATGCAGTGGAACCTCAAGTTAGTGCAAAATACCCTTCGACAAATGTTTCAAGTTACGTACAAAATTTCTGTAGAAAATATACCTCGGGTCACATATGGGTGTGAATGCGAACTGTCTCAGCACGGACGGATTAGTGCTGTGCTTCATGCGCTATTTAACCATCATTTAACCATGCTCTGTGGGTAACTCATTGCCATAGTGATGTGGTCTTGTTTTTAACTTCTTAATTAGACCTCTGAATGATTTTTAGGGTTACTGTTGGCTTACGCACGCACACACACTCACGCTTCTTCCAATCACATTTCCCACAGCGGCCGCCTACGTTTCTGATTAACGTAGCACAAACGATTTACTCTATGTATAACACATACAGCATCTCTTGTATTGGACCGTCGCTGCAACCCCCCCTCCCCCCCAAAAAAAAAACCTCATTCAACATCCGCTAAGGTTATTGCATTGACAGCCATGTATTATTTGGTTGGCTTTTATTTTGAAATTGGCCTAGTATTGGACGCAGTGACGAGCCCTGTTGACTGGACTGGTTCGCAGCAGATTGTGATGAGGTGGGGATGAAATAAGCACCTCCAAATCTGAGACCAGAATTCACAGTCAGAAAAGGGTGGAGTGGTCTTTCCAGGTCAAGCCTAAGAAGTACCTTGGCATCTTGTTCACGAGTGAGGGGGAGAATGGAACAGGGATCGACAATCGAATTGGTGCAGTGTCTGCAGTGATGTAGACTCTATATGGGTCTGTTGTGGTGAAGAAGGCGACAAGCCAAATGGCGAAGCTCTTGGTTTACCGGTCGGGCTACATTCCTACCCTTACCTATGGTCACGAGCTTTGGTTCATGACCGAAAAACTAAGATCCCGGATGAAATCGTCCAAGATTTTTATGTGCAGGTTCTCCAGCCTCCCCCTTCGAGATAAAGAGAGAAGCGAGGCCATCCATGAGGCAATCAGAGATGAGCTGCTCCTCTTCCATGTGGAGAGGAGCCAGATGAGGTTGCCGACTGAATGCCTCCCTGGTGAGGTGTGCCAGATAGGTCCCACCGGGAGGAGGCCCCGGGGATGACCCAGAACACACTGTAAAGACTATGTCTACCGGGTGGCCTGGCCTTGGGATTCTCCCGAAAGAGTTGGACAAAGTAGCCGAGAAGCGAGAACTCTTGGCTTCCCTAGGCTGCCCCTGCGACACGACCCCTGATAAGCTGAAGAAAATGGATGGATGTACTGAGATTTTTCTGGCTCTGAAAAATCTACAAAATGATAACTGTATGGTATTAAGTGTTTTAGGCCATAATGTAAATTACTTCATTTTAATGGACAAATCCGCTTTGACGGACCCCACCCCCCATTAGTCTGTTAAATTGAGGTTTCACAGTGTGTTATTTTCATATCCTTCTACCACGTTTCGTATTTCAAAACCCACTCTAGTTATTTTTCTTGACAGTATCCAAATTGCTTGCTTGGATTAGGATTATCTATTGATTATCTTTATATGGCATGGTCACTATCAGATTGTTGTGCCTTGAAATAGCTTATGTAAAAATAACTTTTTAAAAATGTAACATTAACATTAAAGAAATAAAATGTAACATTACTTTGGCGTGTACTTGTGGGATTTAAGAGTACCTGCTGGTGAGGAGAACTGAATTAGGACGCTGTTGCAGCCCAGCGTGATAATGAACGACTGCTTCCCCACTCTGCTGCATTCCGTCTCCCGAGAAACTGAACACTTGAAGACACTCGCGTCCTCTCCTGAAAAGAAAGAGATCCCGTATTAGGGCTGTGCAATATATAAAAAAATATGTATAGAATTGCGATTATGGCACATGGAACATGCATATTATTATTTGGCAACTGAGCTCAGGAAAGAGGAAGGGGAGAATAAAAGGGGAAAGAAAGAGGAGGGAAAAGGAAAAAAGAGAAAAGAAGAAAGTAATAACTCGAGCTTATAAATCTCATTCGCACAAATTTTACTATTACAGGGTTCAATCGATGCTGTTTGTGTATTGCTTGCTGCTTGCTCACATCCTTAGGTCTTAACTATTATTCACTATTATGTGCATATTTTCTCTATTACTGTAAAAACTAAGCACCAGGAATTTTTTTTTTTTTTTTTTTTTTTTTTGGTTCATCCATAAGTGGAATGTCAGCAACACATCTTGTACAGCAGTACAATAACAGCAACACTGGTCAAAAATGCTATACTTTTTGAAGTGCTGTATTTTCATGACTATAAGGTGCACTTAAAAGTCTTACATTTTCTCCAAAATGGACGAGGTGCCTAATAATGCGGGGCACCTTGTGTCTGCACTGAGTTCCAAAATTTGTGAATGTTGTGTGGTTTCGATGAGCGCTTGATTGACTGCTGTTGTACCGACACGCTGCTTATATAGAGGAAAGGCAGACGTTAACAGAGGACAGCACGCGGACGTGAAAGGAGACACTAAACGCACGTCCCCAGTAGGTGTAGATAGTGCCGTTATGTGCTAGGTGCAAAACAACATCCGGAAAATGGCACCGATGAAGAGACACGCCTACGGAGCACACTTCAAACTGCAAGCGATCAGTTTACGTGGAGGAACATGGCAATCGAGCAGCGGTGAGAGAATATAACATCAACGGCTCCACGAGCAAGCACTACCGTGGCGCAGTACAGGGGATGACAAGGAAAAGCTGGCCATCTTCTGCTCCTACTGGAGGAAAAAGATTGCCGACAAAATCATCCAGCCCAACCACATCACCAACATGGTTGAGGTAAACCACACTGGAGAGAAGAAGGGGACCAGCACGGAAGCAATACGCACAACGGAGCGCGAGAAGTCGGCTTTTTACTGTTGGGCTCGGTTGCCATGGTAATGGACAGAAAATACCACCTGATGATGATTTTTAAGAGGAAGGAGCTGCCGAAAAAAAGTTTCCAGCCCAAGTCATCGTTAAGCAAAAGGGCTTGATGTACGAGGAGAGTATGAGAGTGGCTAAGTGAGGTGTAAGTAAAGACACTGGATGTTTTTTTTTTCTCCTTGTTGATTATTATCGGTACCTGAGAGTTCTAACAAATAACATGGCGATTCCATTTACCAATACTTGTGTACAACATTGAACGCAGCACCTTGCGTCTTGCTCTGGAGAAAATTTTTAAACCGCCTCCTTGAGCAGGGTTAAATTTGCTGCGGTTTAAGCTGTTTTCAGGGGCTACACCGGTGTAACTTTGTACGTGTGAACGCTCTACAGGGGTAGCCCCGGTGCTGCACCGGAGTAAAAGTTGCCGTGTGAACACCCCTATAGAAACTACAGTTACAAACAAGATTTGCTGTGCCCAAGTTGCAAGGTGGAACTAAAAACGGCCAGTTTCAATACATCAAACCTGATAAAACATTTGAGAACGAAACATGGGAAGGAACACCAGGAGTTTGCGGTGGCGACAGTGAGCAAGACAAAGGGGGATGGACCGCAGCAACAAACCCTGGTCACTTCACTTCAAAGGAAGGACCTGTGGGAGGAGAAGTGTGAAGCAGCAAGAAAGATGTCAGAGAAAATTACAAGAAATGATACTGCTCTGTAAACTGCCCCCTCTGATTTGTTGACAATGTGCGATACCGGCTTTTTATGGCTCAAGCAATTGCAAAATACAAGGTCCCAAGTTGCAAATTACAACACAAAGATTGCTGTTCCTGCTCTCAAAAAGAAGGTAACGGAGCAGGGTTCGAGGAAGCTTGAAACGGTTCAGGCCGTAAGCTTCACTACTAGTATCTGGAGCGACGACATCGCCCCACTTTCGCTACTTCGTTTATCTGTTCACTGGGTGGACACTGAATCGTTAAATCTGGAAACTGTGGCGCTGCATACAAACGACGTGTTCAAAGGATCCCACAGTGGTGAAGCAATTGCAGGAGCAAAAGAGAATATGCTGCTCAACTAGAACATCCCAAAGTCAAGGGCAACGTTCATCTACTCTGGTCTGGAATTAGCTAGTTTCTCTTTTTTCACTTTTTCACAAAAAAATACTGCAACAATTTGAGATCTGTTTTCAAAAGCCCTTGTAAGAAATAAAAATGTTGTACTGCAGGGGAGTCAAACTCATTTTTATCGCGGGCCGCATTTCTATTACGGTTTCACTTGGAGGGCCGTTATGACTGGGAGCATATAAAGAAGAACGGTTTATTCCACTATTGCTGAAGTTACTGTCATGAGGGGTTTCATAACAAGAAAATGCTTACACTACAGTGTCTCTCTTATTTAGTACATCTAAGAATTTGACATTTTTGGAAGAGATTTTAGCAAGCATCATGTTTGATTGGCTTTTGCGGGCCACAGAAAATGGTGTGGCGGGCCAGATCTGGCCCCCGGGCCTTGAGTTTGACACCTTGTTGTACTGTATTATTACTATTATTTTTATTATTAAATCTAAATTTTCATACCTCAGATAGGCCTTAATGCCACGATCTCTCTAAAAGATACCGCATGTATATTATTTCTTACTTTAATTTCATTGTACTTAATGTTGCACGACTGTTCCACATGTAAATTACATGATGATTGCACAATTTTGGCCTTTGAGAGTCAAACCTTTGAGGTCTCAGATAATATATTTCACTTATCAGGTAGGCAATAAAAAGGTTCTCCTGGATTCACTGTCTTTTTTTTTCCTGTTTCCTCAAGGTGTTCAAGCAGTGTCTGACCAAGCCATGATAGCAATTATTTTTCATCCAAGTGAATAAGCAGTTCTTTAGAATTGCAAGAAAAAAAAATGCTCTTATATTTTGTATTTTCAAAAGCCTGGCATCAGTGCGGTATTGGTATTTCTCGATAATGCACAGCAGGGTATTGGATAGGTATCGGGGTCCGGATGGGTATCGGAACAACACTAGGAAAAAAATACTGACGATAAACTATCCTTTAAATGAGTAAGAAATCGAACTGAAGCGCAGATTACAACATTAAGGCAAACAAATCTGGGGCTTCACCAACAGATCCAACTTTTCATGTTGCATGAAATGTGACGTAATTCATATGTAAACAAGTGGCACACTGAACTTTTATACATTGAGAAATAAATACAATCTACACAGTCTATATAAAAAGTAGAACTTATCACGCTTATTAACATTAAGCGTGCTAAGCAGGAGTCACCAACTTTTTCAAAAGATCTCCAGTAACATCAAGCGTGCTAAGCAGGAGTCACCAACTTTTTCAAAACTGAGATATAGATAGAGCTATATCTAGAACAATATTCCAATATGTGAAGATATTCCTCATGGTTAATGAATTCTCTTAATAATTAGGAAAATTATAAATATCGATATGTAGGAATTTTCACAATTTTAAATGATCATTTCTACAAAATTCCAAGGAAATTACAGTGTCCCATCGCTGACTGGTGAGCTATATTTGGAATTGGCCCACGGGCTCTTCGTATGGTCCTTGGGGGCTACCTGATGTCCCCGGACACCATGTTGGTGATCCCTGTTTTAGTTCAGGGAAAGTAAGATAATATTTGTTGATATGACGTAACATTTTCCGATTTCCACAAACACCAGCAATGCATTACAAGCAGTGGCGGCACGTCATCCATTAAATGACGAGCAGTAATCATTTTGCCAGTGTTCATTTTCATTCATAAAAATCGGACAATGCAAAATCCGACCTTATACACTTGTATTTATCCACAAAATTACCATACACATCTATTAGCATACACGCTCATATTTATCAACCACACACAGACAGTTGAAGTTTCCCGCTACTACTGCACACGCATCAGGACACCAGCGCAGTGTTGTTGTTTTTTTGTTGTTGATTTTCTTTTTTGTCTTTTGTTAACAGGCAAAAAAGGTCAAATATGTTTGATATTCAAGGTCTCATGCGATAGAAAACTTACCAAAAACTATGTGCACATATTGCAGTCTTTAGTCACTGCAATGTGGTTTCTGCCTGCTACACGGGTCTCTCCCTACTTCCTCCACTCCAATCTTCTCCTCTCCGCTTCATGTCTCAATGGTCATTTAAATTGGGGCTTTTGCTATTAGGAAATCCTGTTTTATTAAATTGTTATTAAATTGCAAATCCAATTATTTGTTCAGCCATAATGGCTAATATGGCTAGCAACTCAAACCTCTACTGCAGAGCATCTCTACCTCCAACGACAGATCCATAACACACAAAACAGGTCAACTGGAACTATAACCAGAAGGAAAATTGCTATGTTCGGGACTGTTGCATTTTATTCATGCTCAGATTTCCTATAGTTCAGTGCAACTGTATTTGAGGCAAACACAAAGTGAAGCTCCATTGCCAGAATATGATGTCCAATAATCTGCAGACGAGTGAGGATAAGTCGTTCAGAAAATGAATGGATGGATAGCAAACATTCTGACATTCCACTTTGCAGTTACAGTCATAATAGTAATTAATACTAGTTAGAATACAAACAACCACTGCTTCTTCAAGTGTACCTATGGTAAGTGATACTTTTAATCATTTGTTTTTATTTTCTCCCTGAAAATTGTCTTTATGTGAAAATGACTATTAGCACTGACATGTTTGGGGTCTTGCATTTAGGTAAAAAATATCTGTGCGCGCATCTGTGTGCAGTGTGCATTGTTGAAAAGTCACTGTGGATTTTGAAGAATTAATACACACACACACACACACACACACACACACACACACACACAGTAAAACACTACCGCATGTAGTAACTCTATAAGGTTCCTGACAGAATTTTAAAACTAGGAAAATTAAAATAAATTGTGCAATGAGTGAATTTCGATAGGTTGGCAGCTCAGTGAATGTGATGCAGTCAAAAATGTTGGTGCAACTAACTTAAGCATTGTTGCAACCAAGATAAAAAGTAGGACCCACCAGTCCAACCTGTACACAGAGTTAGACCAGTCTTGAATGTATATAATGACTATTCTTGAATCGAACAAGTTATCTCTTTTGTTAACCTTTCATAAACTGATCTACAACCTATCCAATGCATATGGTACGCCTGGTATTTATTCTCTCTTTTTGTGTAGTATCAGGATTGTGAAAACTAAATTTTAGTAATTCACTATAAATTCTTTAATGGCTATTAGTCTTGGTGGTTTTAGTTCACTTCCAATAATCTGCAGACGAGTGAGGATAAGTCGTTCAGAAAATGAATGGATGGATAGCAAACATTCTGACATTCCACTTTGCAGTTACAGTCATAATAGTAATTAATACTAGTTAGAATACAAACAACCACTGCTTCTTCAAGTGTACCTATGGTAAGTGATACTTTTAATCATTTGTTTTTATTTTCTCCCTGAAAATTGTCTTTATGTGAAAATGACTATTAGCACTGACATGTTTGGGGTCTTGCATTTAGGTAAAAAATATCTGTGCGCGCATCTGTGTGCAGTGTGCATTGTTGAAAAGTCACTGTGGATTTTGAAGAATTAATACACACACACACACACACACACACACACACACACACACACACACACACAGTAAAACACTACCGCATGTAGTAACTCTATAAGGTTCCTGACAGAATTTTAAAACTAGGAAAATTAAAATAAATTGTGCAATGAGTGAATTTCGATAGGTTGGCAGCTCAGTGAATGTGATGCAGTCAAAAATGTTGGTGCAACTAACTTAAGCATTGTTGCAACCAAGATAAAAAGTAGGACCCACCAGTCCAACCTGTACACAGAGTTAGACCAGTCTTGAATGTATATAATGACTATTCTTGAATCGAACAAGTTATCTCTTTTGTTAACCTTTCATAAACTGATCTACAACCTATCCAATGCATATGGTACGCCTGGTATTTATTCTCTCTTTTTGTGTAGTATCAGGATTGTGAAAACTAAATTTTAGTAATTCACTATAAATTCTTTAATGGCTATTAGTCTTGGTGGTTTTAGTTCACTTCCACATGGTATGGGTCGTATTTTCATTTCTATCAAATCCAGGATTCCTCCATGAGCAGCATCTTAAACTGGAGACTTGGGTAATTGTGTGTCAAACAAATGTTAAAATAACCACATTACATTTGTTACATATTATAAATATTTGTGAGCTCAAACAAGCCTGTTTAACAATTAAAGTAAACACAAAATAAGACCAATATTATTATTTGAAAGGAACATTTTGATTAAGGCAGTCCTACATTTATTTTAGGAGGGAAAGGGGGAGGCTATTGTTTCAAGAACAAAGATGAATGCATAAGTAATGAAGGCCCTAACCCAAAAAATAAAAGCAGAATTAATCAAAATTTCAATCCGTGTTCCTCAAAATACATAATGTAAAGCAACGTTAACATTGATACGGTTTTGTCAAGTAAGTGGAGATTGGACACGATAGGCTATTGTGTGGTCTACAATGCAAGGGGCAGCCGCTCGGACCTCAACGTGCTACGTTGCTCGTAACGTTGACGTCTCACGCAAAACAACTTCAGCAACCTCAATATCAAAATAGAAACGAAGCAATTTTCAACCTAAATTAGTACTAGGGACAAGACAAAATAGGACAAATTATTAAATGATTTAAGTAATTTCAATTGATAATCAACAGCATCGTTGCACAATTGTACACAAGGTGCTATATGCTAGTGCATTAAAATTCAAGCAGGCTAGCGGTACTGTTCCACTATTAATAAACCCATGAAGTCACGCAGCTGGATATATTAGGTTTTGCACCTATTAAATGACAATGTGTTTTGGTATCCTATAATTTAAACTGGCGAATTTATTGGCGAGTTAGATGACACCTACTGCCGAGGCATCGGGAAAGATTAGCCTTGCTGTTCCCTCGTGAATCGCAATGTAAAAACACCTTGGTCCCTCACGCGTTACCGCTAGCCAGGGCTATCAGACTAGCTGAAGAAGCATGTGCATAGCATTTAGCATATAGCATAGCATAGAGCATAGCACATAGCATAGCTTTAGCACTGGTCATGCAGATGCCACATACGTCCGATGCGTTAATGTTGAAATAGAAACCGTACCATTAGAGAGGTTGAGTAATGCGGTATCCTGTGTGGTTTTGACTTCCAATCGTAAAGGTTGCTGTTCTGAGTGTCGCTGTATATCTCCATTTGCGTCTCCGATGGACAGGAGCCGTACGCCGGGAAACACTGAGACCGCCATTTTCAATCTGAAAGTACAGGGAGGTCTGTGGCGCATTCTCCTCCACAGATTAGGGGATACATTAAAAAAACAGCGAAACAGCGCCCCCTTTTAAAATAAAAATTATATGACGTAAAATATACACAACGTTGCTTAATCTCAATCCATATTTCGAGTTAAAACAATTTGCATTTTGCTCTGTGTATACACAGTCTGTGTCTCTTTTTGGCATTGCATATGACGCTTGGAAACAGATCTCAAACACAGAAAAACGACTCCTTATTTGATTTTCGTTTTAATATAGAAACACCAAAATCTGAAATACAGCTACGAGTAAGAAATGATCTAATTACTATTTGATTTACAATGTTTATTTCTTAAACTAAAATAGAATGGAAAATTAGCCGGTATATTTATTTGGATTTCCGAAAGTTGTCCCCCTACGGCAGTTCTCATAAAAACCACAAGATGGCGACAACCCGACGCCTGAAGATGATATCTTGGTCTGGAACGATCGATCTCCATCATAAATTCCACAAACGCAAACAACGGGGAAAAAAAATTAGGGTATACCTGTATTAAAGAAAGAATGAGAGAAAAATACTCAGGCGTCAGCAGCTATAAAGGGCCTGGCAAAGTTGGGGTATATACATGTTGGGATACTTGGAATTTTGAGTGTTCCATTAATCTGCCATGTATGTTTTTGGAATGTGGGAGGGAACCGGAGTACCCGGAGAAAACCCACGCAGTCACGGGGAGAACATGCAATCTCAACACAGTAAGGCCGAAGCCGGAATCGAACCCGGTGCCTCCTTGTGCCTCGTCGATTACCGTGCCTCCCAGTGACAATTTAAAACCAAGGAAAAAGATGGGAACGGCGCAATGTTGACTGGTTGGCACATCCAAAGCGGGTCGGAAAATGGATGGTTGTGTGGATAATCATAATAATGATAATAATAATAATAATAATAATAATAATAATAATAATAATGTTTACAAAATCAATAGGGATCTTGCAGTGGTCGCTGCCCGGGCCCTCATAATAATTATTTCTACAAAAACAGTTGGGACCTCCCTGTCATGGTTTTGATCTGGTTCTGTATTTGTTTCAGTTTCCTGTGGGAGAGAAGGACGTTCGCTCCAGCGGAGGACTACATTACATAGGAACCCAAGCTACCAATGGTTCATAGAAATAAATAGACTGGAAAAAAGTCAGAAAAAAAACATATAGTTATATTTCCCATCCATTTTCTTATCCTGAGCAGGGTCGCGGGGTGCTGGAGCATATCCCAGTTGACTTCGGGCAGAACGGGAAGTACACCCTGAACTGGTCGCCAGTCAGTCGTAGGGCACATAGAGACGAAGAACCATTCGCACCCACAACCATTCGATCACTAATTGGTAACCAATCCCACATTGTCTGCACACAAGTCAGAGGAATGTACCACGACACCATCTGTAACTTATATAGTCATATTTTGTGTCTTAAATAGGGTACCGGGAAATATGCTACAATATTTACCCTTTCTTTATTAATCAAAAACCAACATGACAATTCAGTAATTCTCAATAAAACCTGAAAGCTACAGCATTTATTGTACGACCGACTCACTGACTACAGTACCAGGCTGACTCACAGTCCGAAACGACAGATGGCGGTAATGGGCCCAAATGTCTGCTATCCGCCGAAATATAAAAACAGAAGAGCGTTAACCGGCAGTGACGAGTAGTCGTTGAACGGAGAGGGGCCGGTAAATGAAGAAAACATACTCAAAGTTATAAAATACACCGGAGATTGGTTTTCCCATCTTCCATCCATTCTGATGTAAGTCGTTGTGCTTCGAGATTCTGAATGTTTGTCTGACGGTCCGTTTTTCGAGATGTAGACACCCAACTAAGCACCGGTGCTAGTGGCATATCAAATAGTGTTGAGTACATAGCTTTCCCAATTTTGTGCTTTATTTCACAATGCGTTGTCGTCTAGTGTAATATATATTATCAAAAGTTCACAAACTACATTAAGGCTACAAAAGATTCTGATGATTGACGTCGTAGTGTTGACTCGCCTAGTAATGGCCTTTATTAAATGTAGGCCTAACGCGCTAGGCCCTTCAAATAGCGTCGGTCTATGTGTAAAATTTCAAACAAAAATTCATTTACCCCGCACCTTCATTGTTAGACAGATCTAAAAAAAAGACGAGTCGAGTGATAAGTATTGATTTGCTGTGACATATATTCAGAATTTTATGACGTAAGTTTCTAGCCAACGTCTTAATACAAATGCAATGGGGTTCGACTTTCGAGATTTGAGGTATGACCTTTTTCTTGAATTAGGCTTTCATACTTTTATAATTTCTTTAATCATTTGACTATTTTCAAAAGGTTGGTATCATTGGAACGCTTGCTCACACAGAAACAGAGAACATTAATAACACTCAACTCATGAACTTAATTATAGAAAGCCAAGTTCTCAAGTTTACAAAATAATGGCCAACCAATGAAGAGCCGAGAATTAACACTCTATTAATTGTAATGTACATTGTAAGAAAGGAAGTTATGATGCATTTTTATTAGATGGAACTGAAATTAGCATTGAAAGTGATGGAAAATATGAGCCCTCATGGCAGGTCAGAGTAATGTCCAAAAATGTGTTTGCCGCTCGACCAATTCACATTTTTGAAAATTAAGTTTCCATAAGGGGTTTGTCATGCATTCAGGAAATTTTGTCTGAGTCTTACAACGGGCATATAGAGCTCCTGGTGAGAGGTGGGCGATATGGGTTAAAAAAAAAAAAGCTTCATGCATCTTGTGCAAAATATTGTACAATGAAATTTTACGGCAATATTTAACAATGAAGAACTTAAAATTATGTCAAGGCTATGTCAGATGTCATATTTATAATATGTAAATATGTTTATTTATAAATGTCAATATTTCTGACAAATTATTTAATCCAGTTTTTCCTTTCTGAGAGAAATCAGCAAAGTTTTTGTAGCATGCAAGCTACTACTGCAGTCAGAATGGGGAAAAATATGTATTTTATTTGATATATGTGTCACATATGTCACCCTAGAACACAGGTGTCAAAGTCAAGGCCCGGGGGCCAGATCTGGCCCGCCACACCATTTTATCTGGCCCGCGAAAGCAAATCAATCATGTCTACTTCCATGACGCTTGCTAAAGTCTGAACCAAAATTTCAAATTGTCATATGTAACCCACAATAACAGTCATTATTCTTGACTTCTGATTGTAAAACTAGTTATTGATCAATTTGTTTTGCGCTGTGTATGTAATATGTGGACGGGATTAAACATTTATATGGTTTTCCAAAATTCATAATGGCCCTCCAAGGGAAACCGTAACTACAATGTGGCCCGCGACACAAACGAGTTTGACATCCCTGCCCTAGAATATGTCATTTATGGACGGTCCTTGACACAGACAGTAGATACATGTTTTTTTAGCGCCCTTATTGCATATACATTTGAAGTGACCGCAAATGCAGCTGTGATTTTTGTCAAACAGTCTCCTAAAAATTCCTACACATACTACAACTGAATGTTAAGTGAATATCGAACATCCAGCTAAGGTAGCAAACTGTCTGGCGTAGCACGTGCACGCACAGCGTTTGAAGTTCCATCCATGTGTCCTGCAAATTGAGGCCGTTTTCCACAAAATCAATGAGTACGTTAATCTAATAACAAACTTGGTCACAATATCGCCCGGAGGCAACCAAATTAATATTCATTAGACAGCTGCACCCACTCCTCAGTTGAACACCTGACTGGGGTGAGAGGTTGCCGTCAACAGTGTCCCGAAAAAGATAGTCACGTCAGACACGCTTGCACACGAGCAAACGCTTTTATGAAGTCGAAACATGAAATGATCAAAACAATAAATAATAATTCAAATAAAAAAAAAACACATTGTCTGGGACTGTTTCAAAAAGATTCGCTTCATTGCTGTCCATGTGCTTTTTTAAAACCCCCAAACTTCCAGAAGACATCTGCCATCAAGTTTGTTGGCGCCGATTTCGGTGTTTCCGCCATGTTTTGATACGTGTGGTGACGAGATCTCACATGATGTGAGAAGTCACATGAATTTATGGAGAAAAGACATATTAAAAGGATAGATTTATGGTTTCATGAATCGAGGGTGTCAAATGGAAAATTGATTAGATTCTTTTTATTTATTTATTGTAAACTCACCGGACCCTTGGTGTACAGTGATACATGTGTTAGAGAACGCTACTTAATGAAATGGAAGTTTGTGTGTTTTTTAACATCTATGTCCTTAATTCTTCTCCTCCTGCCAATCCAGAGTGTCTTCTTGTGACGACCAGACTCAAAACAATTGATTATTGACTGCTCCAAAGACGGAGAGTGCCCTCTCGACGACCAGAAGATCACAGAGCCGTGGTACAAGTCAACCGGAGAGTGCGAAGATCAGTGTGTGGCCTCAGTGAGTGAGCAGCCTTCCCTATGTGTGTGACAATGGGAGACATCAGTGACTTGGACCGACAGATTGAACAGCTGCGACGCTGTGAACTTATTAAGGAAAACGAAGTGAAAGCACTTTGTGCCAAAGCCAGGTAACATTTCCCTCTACACACTCATCCACAAAACACATTAGGAACAATGTTCTTCACAAGTTTAAAAAGTAATTAGACATTTTAATCTGATATATAAATTTTTACTATGTGGAATAGCATCTTTAAAAATTTGTCAGTTTTGTCATTATTTTTCATTTCAGAGCGTAATTCTTTGCGTGTTCGTTTATGAAGAAAATGTAATAGTTACTATTTATTGAATAACTGAAAAATATTGTGCAATGACTGCACAGTGGCGCCTTGAAGTACGAGTGACCTGACGTCGGGCTGGGCGATAATTGGAAAAAAATGATCATCATGATTATTTTGTATTTAATGTTGAAATAATGATTAATATAAACGAGTATTCATTGATTTCAGAAGTTTGTATTTATTCAATTACCACAGTTTTGAGGAGCAAAATATGAATGAAAACTCATCAAAGTTAGCACAAACATCGGGCATGGCGAAAAATTTCATATTTTAAAGTTACCATACATACATACATACAAAAAAAATAAGTCTGAAGCACACCTTGGAGGGGTTTTAGCTATAAAAATAAGTCTGAAGCACACCTTGGAGGGGTTTTACGGATCCCTGTTCTGCTATGTTTGACCCACGGCCATCTGCTGAAATGTACAAGAGGCTGGGATAGGCTCCAGGTTGCTCAGGACTCTAGTAGTTGTTCATGAAATTGTCTGTGCGTCATCCAGTTCCAACAGTCACTTAAACCCATGTTGCTTTTATTTGTATTGTCAGAGAGATTCTAGTTGAAGAAAGCAATGTCCAGAGAGTTGACTCTCCTGTAACGGTAGGAGCCATTTTTGTGTTTCTCTTGTTGGCCATAAGTTAGAACATACTTTTGATGAGTGACGATGATTATCCGTTTTACAGGTCTGCGGTGATATACATGGTCAGTTCTATGACTTGAAGGAGCTTTTTAGGGTAAGTTATTTCAAGCTCCTTTTCAAGCTCCATCTGTTATAAATATCGAAATCACTTTGGTACTGGAGGATTATCTTGTTGAGTGTGACTATTGTTGAATAGTGACCTAATCGATTTATATTTTCTTTGCTTGAAATCACACTACCAGACAACGGGTTCACGTGATTGCTAAAGCTTTGTTCTTCGGCAGCCCTCTTGACTAGGGATGGGTATTAGTCCTTTTTTTGTTTTGAAAAACATCAAAAGAAAGATTTGAATTAACGAATCAATCCGCGCTGTAAAACATCTGTTGACTGGATGGGAACGTGTAAACAGGTGACTGCAATTCTTCAGTCGGTCTACATGTTTCAAGTCTCCATGTAAAGCCCATGACTTGACCACTTTGTCCTCAGATGATTTTGAATGTTGTTTCTCGCAAACTAAAAGGTGTGAATTTGAGAAAAATCTCCTTTTTCCAAAGGTGCACAAAGTCAGTAAACGCCTTCTTGGCGTTTACTGACTTTGTTTACTTCACTAACAAGTGAATCATCTAAACCAGGGGTGTCAAACTCATTTATGTCGCGGGCCACATTGTACTTACAGCTTGCCTTTATGATTTTTGGGAAACCATATAAATGTTCAATCACTTCCACATGTTACATATACAGCGCACAAAGAATTGATGGATAACTAGTTTTAAAATCAGAAGTCAAGAATAATGACTGTTATTGCGGACTACATATGACAATTTGAAATTTTGGTTCAGACTTTGGCAAGCATCGTGGAACTTAACATGCTTGATTTGCTTTCGCGGGCCACATAAAATGATGTGGTGGACCACATCTGGCCCCCAGGCCTTGAGTTTGACACCGTGATCTAAACTCTTGAACTAAAATATACCATTTCAACTTTTTCCCGTTGAAGTGTCTTGATTTGAGGACCTTCCACTCTGTCAAAACTTACCTAACCAATGGCATTGTAATATGTTTACAACAGGTTGGTGGAGATGTCCCGGAGACAAATTACCTCTTCATGGGAGACTTTGTAGACAGGGGTTTCTACAGTGTGGAAACATTCCTCCTTCTTCTAGCTCTTAAGGTACAAATACCCATTCATGTAGCAGGGTTCACATGGTCATGAAAATGACAACAAAAAAGTCATTGCAATCTTGCATGGATAATAATCAGGATGTGTAAAACAAATACAATGGTGTGACGTGATTAAAATTTTGACATGGCCAGTCCAAATATGACAAAAATGTAACAGTTGGATTAATAGTTGCTTGATTCGTCATGCCTCAAAAGTGTAGCATTTTCTTGGAGAATATCGCATTGCCGTGGCAACAGCATTTCACGAAAACTGACAAACTTTGTCTTTCAACATCATGAAAGCCCTAAACCACAGAAGTGAATGTCCAATCCTCGATCCCCCTATTCTGCATGTTTTAAATGTTTCTCTCCTCCAACACACCTGATTGAAATGTTGGTCTTTTAACGTACTACCAGCGGAAAGTGAGGGAACACTGTATTCTGTCTCAGGTATGGTCAATATCTTGAGGCTTTTCTGACAAATTTTCAGTTGGATCTGTTCATTAGGCTCAGCGCAATACAGTAATGGGAAAAAGCACCACTAGGTGCTGTAGTAAAATATTGTCATATAGATGTCTTCAGGTGGTTGTTCTGGCCCTCATAAATTTGTTTCAACTGAAACGATCTCTGAATGGGTTCTATGGTACTTAAGCAAGACGACATTGAGGAAAAAAAAAAAGGACAAAATCTACTGTAGTGTAATTTTGAGCACATTTATTGTGCAGATCTCAAAACTTAAAATCAAACCAGGACTGAATTTTGAAAACAAACAAATAACATTTGAAATGTTTTGAATATTTAAAATATTAATATGCCTTTAACTTTATGGGTCACACCTCCCGGCTGACACACCAGAATGAAGGGTAACGCTCTGTCACTGCCATTACTGTGTATAATTTCCTCTCCTCTGATGAAAAATTATGATATATACTATTATGCTGTTTGATACACTTAACGTAACGCAGTTGCAGCCAGATTTCTGTGCAAAGTGTACTGGATCACTCAAGCAATTAATTTCTGCGTCTGACATTTTCATGTCAATTTTAGCTTCCCAATTAGCATGCCTTCATGACAATGATACTTTTTGAGGCTTATAAGATGCCATGGAGGCGATGATTACGGACTTGGGACTGACTCCTTAACATATTTAGCTGTACTAGCTAGCTAGCCAGCCGAAGCTCATATCTAGCTAATAGGTGTAGCTCGTAGCACTGAGATTGTCTTGATAGTACCAGAACAGCAGAAGGCAGCGAACATGTGTGACTGGTAATTGTCGACGCACCATTGTCGTTATTTTAAAAGAAGACTGCATTGAGTTCATCATATTTAGGGTCCAAACAGTGACTGCTGCGGTGTCCCTTTAGTTTTTGTCGAAATTATTATTAGTAGTTGGAACAGCAGTAGCAATGGAAATCACAGCAAGCCACGTTATAAAATGTTCTTATTCTTTTTTTTTTTTTTTTAACTCCTTTGTTTGCCTTTTATTTTCAGGTGCGTTACCCAGACAGGATAACTTTGATTCGGGGAAATCACGAGTCCCGGCAAATTACCCAGGTCTATGGTTTTTATGATGAGTGCCTCAGAAAATATGGCTCTGTCACAGTCTGGAGATACTGCACTGAGATTTTTGACTACTTGTCCCTCTCGGCAATCATCGATGGCAAGGTGAGGTGCCAGTTTTACTACTATTTTCTTTTTTTTTTCTTTTTTTTTTCCTCTCGTCATAAAACACTATTATCCCGTGCACCCTCGCCTAATTGCGGTTCACTGTTCAAGATTTTGCCAGTTTCATTGGTATTGTGGTATTAGTATTGACTGTTCGGAGTTGTGTTGATCATGTGGAAGCGTGTCCTTCTACTGTAATACCTCTCAGGTCTCTAAATCAATGAGGCATAATGGGTTTCATCCTTGGTATTAACTATGCGGTTAGTTCAAGCCCAACTATTTTGCTGCAGGCTACACTTAAAATGTCAACTTCGAGATAACAACATTAGTAAAAAGTTTCAAAAGCAGCCTGACCCCAAGCCGTATGAGGCTGTTGCTGAATAGAGACGCATCTTTGGAGCTAAACCACTTTGCCTCTTGTTAACTGTGAGTGAGTTGTTGGATATTTGATGAGAAAGTTTTTTTGTAAAATTAGATTTTGATCGTATTAGCTTGTGGTGTGGATTAATCTTTGTGTAGTAAACTTAAAGCAGCGCCTCTAAAATGGAATTCATCGCATTTCATTTTCATTCCGTGGCAGTAATGAGCAGAGTGATTGTGTGTGTGTGTGTGTGTGTGTGTGTGGGGGGGGGGGTGTCAGTAGACAGACCAGAATTGAAAGTGTATGCTTTTTGACTGATTCAAACCATTCCAACTTCAAACTGTTGGAATGGTTTGAAGTTTGAAGTTGGAACATTTGGCATTGCCACCAATGCCAAATGTTCAACATTTCACTCTTAAAATACCCACCAAAAAAATCAAATAAAACAGTTTTTTTTTTTTTTGGTTTTTGCCTCTAGCTCCTTTTAGGTAGAGGCATACACAACAGCCTAAGACCATAGTTAGAAGTAGAAGTTTTGAAATCCAACCATAACTCGTTTTGCTGTCAACACGGTTCGGAAACAAGGATTTTGAGCGCAAGAGCTCTAATTTTAATATATCCAAGTCGCACCTGAGTATAAATCACAGGTTCAACCAAACTATGAAAAATAGTTTGACTAATAGTCAGAAAAATATGGCAGGTCTGTATAAATGGCTACTTCTACAGTTTTCTTTGTATTAACTTGTCCATCAATTGTTTTAATTCAGTCCTTTTTGTCCCCTCAGATATTTTGTGTGCATGGTGGCTTATCACCATCCATCCAGACACTTGATCAAATCCGGACCATTGACAGAAAACAGGAAGTTCCTCATGATGGGCCCATGTGTGACCTCCTTTGGTCAGACCCAGAAGGTATACAAGCAAACTTCCTTCGTCACTAAGCATGCTCATACAAACCTAAATTGAATCCAACTCCCAACATTTTTTTTCCTCACTATCAAAACCACAAATACCATTGACAATAATATCCTATCCCAATCTTTGAAGTGTTTTTGACTTTGTTTCCCTGGTTTCAGACACTACCGGATGGGGTGTGAGTCCCCGAGGTGCTGGCTACCTGTTTGGTAGCGATGTCGTGGCCCAGTTCAATGCCGCTAATGACATTCACATGATTTGCCGAGCGCATCAGCTGGTCATGGAGGGCTATAAGTGGCACTTCAACGAAACAGTGCTCACTGTGTGGTCAGCACCAAACTACTGCTACAGGTATGAAGCAATAGTAATCATTCCAGTAGTACACCCAAGTCAGCCATTAATGCCATAGCAACCTGTTTCATGCAGAGAGCCCGCCAAATTGCTTTGTCTGATCCATGAAATTTCACTGTTGCCTTTACAACAGAATCCCCTGAAAGTAGGATCTTGCTGCAATGATTTGCACATTGTTCCCTCGTATGACACCAGGGAGGCAGAAGAAGTGAGCCTTCCCAATGGTGGCCAAAGGAAGTGCAAGCAGACCATTATTGCCACATGTCAATAAGGCAAAGGGTGGGGGGGTTCTGACATGCCGGGCTTATCGTGTCGTGGGCGTGAAGCATCCCAGACGATCAATTGTTGATGTCATGTAATGGGAATTTGACATCTAACAGGACCAAAAATATAAGTAACTGTTCGTACCTTTGAATGCTGACCAGTTATTTTGCAGATAAGCAAAGTTGCCTGCTCATGCACTAGTGTGCATTCTGTGTAGCTGCTCAAAATGCTGATTGCACTAATCTTCACCACCTCCCAACAAGATAAAATGAGAGCGCAAGACGCAGGGAGGGGGAGGAGGCTCCATTGACAGATCTGTGAACGGTGTCTCTCCATGTTGTTTTCAAATAAATCTCATCATTCTTTATAATACTTGTTGTCTTGGCTTCCCTGGACAAGACAGTCACACGACATGGGGTACGACGCTTCAAGTCAACTCACAATCGTCCATGACATTAAACGTTTGCTATGCGTCTGTCAGGTCAAGATCGGGCTATATTGGTGTAGTCTGAGCTCAGCATAAGTCACACGAAGAGTTAGCTTGGCTCAAATGCTATATGACGATAGCAGCAATGTGAGAGTGAGAGAGAGGTTACATAAATACTCCTTTCTTGTCATGTGAAAATGTTTCTGCTGATGTTGTCTGTTTCTTAGCAGATGTTTCCAGCCCCCCTGTGATTTTCCTAGTCTTGCACAGAGCAACATTTCTCACAATCTTTAGTAATTTGGTCGCGCAACATGCTTTATCTGCACAGCGTTTGAACTTAGTTTGTAGCAGACTGTTGCTTAATGTCTTCAGCTGCAAAACCAAAACTGACTTTTGTAATCTTGCGCCTCCTTGTTCGTTGAAATATAAGCAGTGTTACAACTGTTGAGACTTGCTTGCAAGTATGCAAGCTGCCAAGAACAAAAAGTTTTGTGTTCTTTATTAATTCATGGTCATTTGCCATCCATAATTTTTTTTTTTTGTGCTGATACAGATGTGGTAACGTGGCTGCCATTTTGGAGCTGGATGAACATTTACAACGAGAGTTCATCATATTTGAAGCCGCACCACAGGAAACAAGAGGCATTCCATCAAAGAAGCCAGTTGCAGACTATTTCCTGTGAAGTCTTGTGAATTGATTCCACCAATTCATAATTTAGAACTCTGTGCAGTTTGTTTGAGAAGCCGCAGAGCGCCGGCAATGTCAAAACCATCAGATCATGTATCTTCTCTTTCTCTCTCTGTAAATTCAATTCCACTCGTGTATGTTTATTTTTAGATGGCATGTAGGAGCATTTTTGTTTAGTTTTTTTTCAGTAATCTCACATAGATTTCACAATTTAATAATACGTTGTTTGGCACGCTGTCCACAGTGAGGCACTGTGTTCACTGTTTTTTTTTTTTAATTTTTTTTTTTTAATCTAATCTCTGTAGGTTTGTCCATTTTGATATTGTGAAAATAACGTTTTTGTATTGGTGTTTTTGCTAAATAAAAGCCACTTGTACATAACAAGTTTAAATGGATAGTTGTCATTTCTTTGGACAAAACGGTGCTGTCACACATAATCAATTTAGATGAGCATTGGGGAACTTTTTTTTTCCCTAGAACGTCTTCATCAAGTGTCCCCCAGGACGGTGGCCCTCCAGGCCCGGAGCTGGACATACCTGCCTTTGAGTATGGGTCAAACCACTCACACTAGCCGACATACTTCAGGTGTCAAGTGGAATGGCCGAATCCAGGGGTCACCAATGTAGTGCCTGCAGGCACCAGGTTTCCCCACAGGACCATGTGAGTAGCCTTTGCGAATTTTGCCCAAAAAGCTCACTAGTGGTGGGACATTGTGATTTCCTAGGAATGTTGTAGAAGTTTAATTTGAAAATGTAAACACTGGCAGAGACTTCTAAAAATTAAGTGTTGCTCAAAATGTCAATTTTATCCTAATTATTGTGAGAAATCATTAACATGATCAGTGCGTAAAATTAATATTAACAGAATGATAAAATGATTAAAGGTAATTTTCACTTTCAGAAGTGTCTGTCAAGATAGTAGCCTTTTACACGCATCAACAGCCAAGAAGTAGCTCTCAGTTTCAAAAACTTCTGTAGTGACCCCGGCCAACTAAAAGTCTGAACTCTCCAATCCATTTGTAAGGATTAATATATTTTGTCTTTACGAGGAATTGAATTGTAGATCACACATAATTGTGTCACTTGGAGATTCTTTGTCCAGTGGACCTGTGCTTTTCTTCGGGGATCAAGTTGGCCCGCTAATAGCGAAGAAAAAAAAGAGCAAAAAGGTTAATTGCCAAGTGACGAGTATGCAGGAGTCCTCTGCGCGAGGATTCTGAATGGACGTGGGCCCAGCGATTTCTTTAGTTTTTTTAATTGAAATTCAAAATCGCAGTTGGACCTGAGTTTTCCGTGGATCATTTGGGTAAAAAAATTGAAGCGGCTACTGCAGTTTAGCCAAAAACAGCCGGACTATGATATTACGATGTTTTTATATTCACAGACAGAATCACCATTCAGTGTGAACCAAGCAGTATTTTATCTTATTCTAATTGACTTCATTACAACCCCAAAAAATACTTTGCTAGATTTACTACATGTAGTAATGTCAAGTGCGTGACAGCCTTATTATATATAGTAATGTCAGTCTTAAACAGAGGAGTGGAAATTGCTGCATGGAAGGACAGAAGCCAATATAGAATATTAATATTTTTTTAATAAGCACAAAGAGTATACAGAATTTAGACAAGTTTGCTCTGATCAGTTCTGCTTCAAGTTTGCGTGAGGGCTGGGGTGGGGTGTCCCACTTGAGGCATTGTCAAGTGTTGCAGACTCCAGGCTTGTAGAGCGACTAGCTGCTGTTCCAGACTCTTTTTGAACCAGCTCGGGCTCATCTTTCCCGGCTTGAGGTGGGTGGACCAGGACCATGTCGATAAGACCAAAGTCCTGGGCCTCCATGGGGCTCATGTAGCGGTCTCTCTCCATGACATTCTCTGGAAGACAAAAGAATTTAAACACTCACATTTCTCATTGATGCCCCCTCAGTCATTTGTCATATCATCGCATAGAAATTTGCAAACATTTTACCGAAATTGAACATGGTAATTATTGTGTTCTGACAACGCTCAGTCTGTTTTATTGTGTGGCCTGAGTCAAAAAGTAGGTATTGGAGCACATAAGTCATACTCTGGCATCCCTTCACTGAGTTTTTTTTATCTGATTCTATTATTTTCAAATCTTCAAATGGCTGATGATTTTTCCACCACTGAAAATTCCACCTCCAGACAGGTCAAACATAGGTACTGTTGTCTTACACTGCTCACTAGGCCTCACAACCATCACTATACTCGTTATAGAATGAAACTTGAAATCAAATTGCTCTCCATATTCAGAAGAAACTTTGAGCAGCTGCTGAATGCCTACAGAATCGGGCGACATGATGACCACATCGTCTGCATAAAGTATCCATCCATCCATCCATTATCCTATCCGCTTATCCTCACAAGGGTCGCGGGGGGTGCTGGAGCCAATCGCAGCGGTCTTCGGGCAGTCGGCGGGTTGCCACCCAATCACAGGGCACACAGAGACGAACAACCATCCGCGCTCACACTCACACCAGGAGACAATTTAGAGTGTTTCGTTAACCTGCCATGCATGTTTTTGGAATGTGGGAGGAAACCGGAATACCCGGAGAAAATCCACACTGGCCTGAGGAGAACAGGCCCGAGCCCCATGAACAAGCACGCATGTTGTTCCATGAAGACAAGAGCACATTTTCAAAGTCTTCCACAGTACAATAAATCTTACACAACCTTAACACAAACCGTTCAAAGATAGCAGAGGGACCCTTACCTATGGTTTCCAGCAGTTGCCCAGTGTGTTTGGTATAGAGATTGTTGATTTGTTTCTTCAGTTTCATGATCTCCTCCGCTTGGATGGCGATGTCAGTGGCCTGACCCTGAAACCGAAGATTAATTCCATTGCAATGCCAGATGTATAAAATATGTTATCTCAGATAATCCCCTAGTCGTGATTTGAAATGAGGATATCTCTTACCCTGGCACCTCCAGATGGCTGGTGGACCATGATACGGGCATTGGGTAATGAATGTCTCATACCCGTTGTCCCCGCTGCCAGCAGCAAACTACCCATACTAGCTGCTTGACCAACACACCAAGTGGAGATGGGATTGAGGATATATTGCATGGTGTCATATATAGCCAGGCCTGCTGTTACCACACCACCTGGGGGAAAAATCGAGAAGCTTATTCATGTAGTGAATGCAGACAGTGACATAATGACACACGATCCTGTCTTTTAGCTCATCAAAATATAACTTTTAATAAACCTGGACAGGCATTTTTACCCGAGGAAACACCGGAAAGTTTTGCCCTGGTTGATGCAAGGACACTTGGTCGACTTTTCTCCCAGATAAATCCAACAATCCAATTCCCATATCACTTCTAAAGACATTTTATGGATTCTTTGAGGAGCAGATTTTAAATAGTCAATTGCTCTCCTCAGATGGGCGTATTTCCCGCCGCCTATAAAACGGCGGGGGTGAGGCCCCTTCTAAAGAAGAGCAGCGTTTTTAATAATTACAGAACTGTATCCAACTTACCGTTTTTAAGTAAGATTTTAGAGAAACTAGTTTTTCTCCCAACTAAACAATTTTTAAACACAAAAAATATTTGAGAGAAATATCAGTCTGGTTTTAGGATAATAGAGAGACAGCTCTTTTTGAGGATTTTAATCTATATTTATATTGCACTTAACTGAACTGTGTACAGCTCTCTCTGAAACATTTATTTTTGTGCATGCAAACACTTAGTTTTTCTTCTTTCTACCCCCAATTTTGCTGCTGTAGACTGTAAATTTCCCCAGTGTGGGACAAATAAAGGATATCTTAAATGCAGAGATGAAAAAAAACTCACGGTAATGCAAATTACAAATTAAATGTCATTTACAATGGGGTTGAAATAATTTTGACAGCAGCAACATCGGATTTTTGCACCCTTCATCATCAATATTGTCAAAATGGTGACTTGTTATTACGCCAAAAAAAAATGAACATGCATTTTTTCTTCATTTGTATTTTGGCATGGTGAGACATACAGGACAGGAGTGCAAATTTCAAGAAACTAGGATATCTTAAATGCAGAGATGAAAAAAAACTCACGGTAATGCAAATTACAAATTAAATGTCATTTACAATGGGGTTGAAATAATTTTGACAGCAGCAACATCGGATTTTTGCACCCTTCATCATCAATATTGTCAAAATGGTGACTTGTTATTACACCAAAAAAAATGAACATGCATTTTTTTTTTCATTTGTATTTAGGCATGGTGAGACATACAGGACAGGAGTGCAAATTTCAAGAAACTAAGCCGGCAGCGTGATTATTGGAGAAGTGAGTATTTTAGCAGCAATCCACTGGAAAGAGAGTTCGACATTTTATTCTGAAAATGTCCAATTCAAAGACCAAAAACAGGACAGTACTTGCTTCTAATGCCTAAGCAACGCAATATTGATGAGAATTACTTCAAGACCCCTGATTGCTTACCAGGGCTGTTGATGTACATGTGGATTGGTTTGTTGTTGCTTTCAGACTGAAGAAAAAGCAGTTGGGCAATAACCAGACTGGCCACAGAATCATCAATCTTAGAGGAGGCGGCAAATGAAGAGGGGAAAACAAAGATACAGTCATCATCATCAAAGCATATCAAAAAAAAAAAAAAAAAGAAAATCATTAAAGCAAGACACTTACAGGACCCATTACACAAATTATTCTTTCTCTTAGTAGGCGAGAGTAGATGTCATAAGCTCGTTCTCCTCTGCCCTGAAATGAAGAAGAACAAGAATAAATGAATCCGACAACATTCAAAAGTTGGTTTGGTTGAAAGTAGGGTTGTGTTTGTTTGTCGGCTTCCCCTGTCTCAAACCAAAGCAAAAACTAATGTTTTCAATGAATTTTAAACCATTGTAATGCCCGACCAACATGGCTAACTTAAAAATTTATGCTTACAAGTTTCTACACTTGGTTTTTGGGGAATTTTATGTTTTTACAGATTTCAGCTGTCAAAATGCAACCAATGTAGTGCCATAGTCTTCAACTCTGACAATTGTCTGCCAAACCACGGTGATATCAAGTCTTCCACATATGCTGGTGCTGGAGGTGTTGCAACGGAACAGGTTTGCTTCATTTCTACTGACCATGAGACTGGTCCTTCGTTTCTGCGCACAGCTATCAATTTACATTAAACCAGGGGTCACTTACATAGTGTTTCTATTCTATCTTTTTTTTTTTTTTTTTTAATCACACCTATTTTTGGTGAAAATATGGGAAATTACAATATTTTTTAAAAATAGTATAGGTCAGGTCTGAATTGGTAGTAGTGTGCGACCAAACCATTGCAGGCATGAAGGCAACCTTGCAGTTCCAACAACAAATAATTTCTCCCCAAATAAATTGAGCAAACTTGTTATTTCAGAAGTATATTGCAAAACGGTATCCCTTCCAATTAATCCCAACCGGAGAAGTAGCTCCCAGTTTAAAAAAAGGCCGGTGGCTCCTGTATGAGACTAAGTTCTGTATTTTCACGAACATAGGACACACTTAAAAGTCTATAATAAGTAAGTAATAAGTCTTATAATGCAGGGCGCCTCATCTGTGCACCAAGTTTCAAAATCTGTGATTGTTGCTGTGTGACTTTGAGGAGCGCTCCCCTTGACGGTTGGATGATATGAGGACACGCTACTTATATAGAGGAAAGGCGGACGTTAAAGGGGAAGGATGGGCGTGAAAGAGGACGCCAAAGGCACATCCACTAGCAGGTGGATATAATGCTGAAAATGGCACCGATGTGTCTCACACACATACACGCACGCACGCACACACGCACACACGCACACACACACACACACACACACACACACACACACTTGAAGTCAAATATTTTGCTATTGCAACTACACTGCCATATAATCCAAAGTAATTCCAAGCAGGAGGATATTTCACTGACCGTTTGCTCTATAACTATAGGTATTAGAGGATTTCTCCATGCAGGACTGCTGTGGATTGATCTTGTCAATTTCAGTCCATGTCCCACAGCTTGAAACACCTTCTGAAAGACAAGAAGCAAGTAAGACAGAAGAAATCAGAATATATTTTAGGAGGAAATATGAAAAAACGACCTGAATCACAAAGTTGGGCTCATTTCTGGAATTTTGTTAACGTATTTATTTCTAATTGTATTCATTTTAATCGGCCCTGCGATTGACTGGTACCCAGTCAATGGCGTACCCCACCTTGAGCTACAAGTCAAATGGGATAAGCTGTAGTTTAACATCAACACAAATAAGTGGTATAAAAATGTACGTGATCTTTTTTTATTTGTCTGCCATGTTAGAGCTGTAGAGCTGGACGATGGGCTGATTACGGCAGGTGTAAAACTGAAAGACTAGGAGCAGTGTAGGATCCTCTTGAAGGAACTGTTCTGGTTTTTTTTCCTGTATAATCGCTGTAGTTGGTGAAAATCATCTTGGTTGTACCATTTTCAACCTCATTGATTGTACAAATATGAGTGCAGGGACATACACCTGTTTAGCGGGGTTCATGTAGCCACATTACTAAGTGGCCGGGACCCGACGGGGCCAGCAGTAGACTTCTCGGCGTGGGGGGGTTCCTGGCTACAGTGCCTTGTCTTGGAGCAGGAATACTAACAGCGGCACAGGACACAGGATGGAAGAACCATTTTCCAATGCAAATGTATAGTGAGCCTCAAAACATATTTCAGCCTGGTATAGTTCATATTACTGGGAGTCCACACATTCCAGTGCTGTGAAATCGTATTTACTCCCTTCCTGATTTGTGTGTTCTTTGCATATTTATCACAAACAAAGGTTCCATTTCATCAATCCAATTTTAATATCACACTGAGACTACAGAAGGAAATAAAAGATATATTTACAGTATTGGGCACTCAAAGGTGTCTGGGGGCTGGCCTTGCTGTTTGAAAATTTTGCGGGATTAATTATTAATCCACAAATACGAGATTAATCAGAAAACAGTATTTAGATTTTGAGGGCACATAGAACACCTTGAAATAACAGTTTTTGGGGGGAACCGTTTCAATGCATTCTTTCCCCTCTTGCATTACTTTTTTACTTTGAGTAGTTTTATACCATTTCTTTCGTACATTTACTTTACATTTGATGCTTCAACCTTTACTTACGTATTATTCAATCAAAAATATCTCTACTTCTCCGTGAAAACGTGCCACTTCAGATAAGAATGCCAAACGATGAAACTGACTTTTAGTAGAGATTTAACAGGTTTTCACACTGAGCTGTACATTTTTGTTGCACAACACACAGTAACTACGTCATTTTAATAAACGCAAACACCACTCCGTCTTTACTGTTAAACTAGCAAGTATATTAATTTGACTTTGACATCCACTTGGTCATCATAAATGTATTATTTTCCAGTGCCTTGCTCAACCCTCGGACTTCTCTTGTATGCGACCCTGTGTGGGGGTAAAAAAAATCGTGCAATAATATTAAGATAACCCAGATGCTTTTCAAACTGCCGCTACGTTGTGTTGTGACATTGAAATGCCTTGGTTCTCAGTTGTGCGTGTCCTTGGATTTTTGAAATGTGTCGTTTTAGGAAAAACGTGGATCAACTGTAGCCTACTTTCATAACACAACGGACCATTAACTCGTACCGAGTCATTGATATGTTAGCGGATACCTTTTCATTTTGCGGTGGAACCGTTCTGGTGAGTGCGTTTAAATAAAATAGTGAACAGTAGTACTAACCGTAAAAAGCACGCTCATAATTCCGGAATAGCGTGTATTAAACTCCCAATGTTACCAGCAGTGACATAAGAATCACCTCTTCTTCCCTGTTTATGGCTGCTAAAACAACTTTTAGTCAGATTAACGCCCCCTCCTGGATTAGAAATGGTATATCAGAGGAGAAGGGGGCGGTGGTACGTACGAAACATTGGATTGTGACGTGGAGGAGGGCGGGGGTACTGTTACCATCTCTATGACCAATGAGTGTGTAAAATGATTATTTATACCTGTATGTCCGACTAAAATCCTGGCAGAAGCTGCGGCAAGAGGTGTTATATAATCTCCGGAGCTGGATAAATGTGCTTTTTATTCTTTCCTTTTTTTGAATGGATATCTGAAATTCCAAAAGCATGTACATGTACATTCGGATTTCCCACCTTCCTCGAATGCTGCATATAACGTCCTCGTCTTATTTTCACACGTCAACCCAACATTTTTTGAGGGCACAAAGCAACCACAAAATCGAATACAACGTGTTTATGTTTATTGACACGTTCTATAATGCAGTTGAAACAAATGTGATCTTGTGGGGGGAAAAGACACAAATAATTATAATGATAAGCATACTACGACTAATCGCACCATGAGGATAAATGTTACCACGAAGCTTCGTGACGGTGCCTCGCAAGGACGGCAGGGGAAAGAGGGAGTGGGAGAGCGCAGATTCGTGACTCGCAGCGGAGTCGAGCAAGAAAGAAAGCCGGACATGATGGTTGTGTGGTTGGCTTTGGGTATGTCAGTGTCCAGAGGCTGCGCCCTCCGAAAGTCGCAGTCCAGGCCGCATTTTTCTTCAAAGGCTCCTCCTCATGTAACCTCCGTGGACTGCAGGCAAACTTTTTTTTTTTTTGGTTTTTTTAAACAAAACTGTGAGCATAATGGTTGGCACACCACAGAGTTGGTAGAGGATAGATTCATTGGTCTTTAAAAAGACACATTTCCACCTTGAAAAACACCAGCTCCGAGCTACAGAATATATATACTTTATGACAAAACCCCACGTTAAGACAATTATAAAGAATGATGTTTTCTCCAGACGACGCCCGGGTAGCTTGCAATAAACGGAACTTGCGTTACGGAACGCTTTTTTTGTTTGTTTCTGAAATCATAACACGTCATTTCAAAATCAATATTATGAATCTTGTAATGTTTCTTGCAGAATTATATTCACAGATGTAAATGTTCAAAGACAAAGTCCGTTTTTGCCTGTTGTTGAAAGAAACCTTTTTTTAAGTAAATAACAAGTACATGAAAATAAATGCATCTTTTTTTTAGGTAGATCTATACTCTGTGAAGTCCTGCTTGTAGTGTGTTCTGAACAAAATGTTTCTTTTTACAGGACGTGGGGGTTCATCCGGAGCGAAGTTCCGAATCTCGTTGGGTCTTCCAGTGGGCGCTGTTATCAACTGTGCCGACAACACTGGTATGCTTGAAGTAATGGTTATCCAAACTTCAGTACAGCAGAACATCTTAATGCTGCACTCAAACTGAACCCAAAATAGTGCTTTCGCACATAGAAGAGGACAGGTAAATAGGACGCCTATGTGGTTTTCAGATAATTTACATACAATATGAATAGTTTTGGGCCAAGCACTGACCCATGAAGAACCCCATGAGTGATCTTCAGGTGATTTGATTTTATGTTGTTGAACTCCAGATACTAATATCTATTATCAAAATAACTTTTCATCAACATTTTGTATTACATAAAGTAAATCGAGTATACTTAAGAATTTGTGATTGTATAGCAAAAAAAAAAAACACGAATTTTCTCACGGTTTCTAATTAAAATAACAACAGACAAACAACGTCACTACTGGAATAATTAATATTTATGGTTACGACTATGTCGTGACCTGTTACGTTCAGACAACATCACCAAAATTCCGCAGTAGGTCTTTGCTGTTTCCGATTTCTTGAAAGCAGCACGGGTTTCCGACACGACCCGGATGAAGAAAACTTTTTTTCCCACAATCCCTCCTGTCCTCGCTCTCTTTTTCAACTGCAGCCATGTCGAAGAGAGGTAAGAAAGACCCGTAGTTCAATCTCTATCCATCAGATGTTTCCAGTTTGCCATCGGATGATACTTTGCAGTTTTTGTGTACTTGATCAACGTTATTAGCTATTGTGAAGTTTTATTTCTGTTGGTATTTTGATTTTTCTTCCTTTGTATAGCGGTGATGATTGCACATATGTCCTCGCGGTAAACGTCGTCCTTAGGCTTAAGTAGAAAGACGACACAATTTTAATGCCGTTCTAAATGCTGTGAAAGGAGTGTTCGTCGATACAGTAAGTTAATGACGTTATTCGAAAATTGCTAATTATTTGCGCTAGCACATGCTAACACCTTGCAGGAAATTGTATAGGGAAGCGTAGAGCGCATCTGCCCATGTCCGGGTTCACTTGTAGCCCGGTGCGAATTCTTTTACCTCACTCATCCTCGCCTCTCCTAATAAGTATCGCTGTCTGGTCATTCCGTGTCCGTTCATCAAATGCCCCCACCGAAGCATCTCAGAATGTCATTTAAAATAATAGTAAAAAAGACACTTTTTAATGGGAAAACATCAGTAATTGTAGGCCTCTACTGTCACTCTTTTACTCATCATAATTGACTGAATTTTAGCGTTTTGATCGTTGTTGTAATCACTCTCTGAAAGGCCATTTTAAACAGCAATATCTGTTGATTGTCGTTCTGGCAAGCTAGAGGTGTATTTGCCTATTATAAGAATTTCTTGTGTCAATTTTGATAAAATTAGCAAAGGCATGTTATTGGCTTTGCATACCCTTTTTTTTTACCTGCAATGCCCAGAGCGCATCACCAATGACATTGAGGAATTGGTATGAATGTCACTATTTCATACATGGCTCAAAATTTCAGTTGGTTTATTAAAGTGACAAATGTTTCAGTTTAAATATGAAACACACTCAGAAACAGGTAACAGAAACACATACGACAAGGACTAAGGTTAAAAAAAACAGCCTGATGCTAAGTTTTAAGAATTGAGCAAACTCTGGTTTATTTTCAACCACATGCATAGATAGGATTTTCCTTAATTGGGAATAAGTGTCACCGCCAGTCGAGGGCTAGCATTAGCATCTCGCTTCGTTGCGCTCAACTTGAACCTTCTATGGCCGCAGAG